GCGGGACCCCGAGCCCTCCGCCCGGCCCCGCGCACCTGCGGTCAGGTGTGCTGCCTGAGCGCGCCGCGCGGGCGGGGGTCTCGTCCCGGCCCCTAGACCAGGTCTCCTTCCTTTTCGGGGCCGGGGAGCGCGCCCCCCGCCCCGTGCCGGAGCCCGGAGACGGTGGGCATTCAGGGGAGGCTAGGGTGGGGTTGCCCGCGTGTCCCGGCTCCGCCTTCCTCCCCACCTGTCTGCCTTTAGCCCTCGGAGACCCTATCCGAGGCGGGAAGGCGGAGGTGAAAATAAATGGCCACGTGCCGGGTGCGCGTGGTCGCGCGGGCCACTCGGTCTCAGGTACCTGAGCGCTTCCGCTGCTGCGGTGTGCTGTCCGGCCGACCCCACAGCCCCTCCCACGGTGACCGTGGCAGGGTCCACACCGTTGGGGCGGGGGGAAAGGAGTGGAGGGCTCGCTGACCGAGGTCGCGATCTGAGCAGCTGACCAGTCAGGGGACCCCGGGGCGGGGGGTCTTGATGGGGAAGTTTTGGGTGGGGACGGGGTCGGGGCGAAGGTGTAACTTCTCCCCAACCCCAACGCCCGCGCGTCATTTTTCTCGGCTCTGAATGGGGGTCTTTTCTAACTCCAAATGAGGGGTCTTCTGAGCTTCTGCTGAGTTTAAGGCACAGGTAACGTGTCAGTCTACTTCCACACCTTCCCTGGAGCGGGGGACGGGAGGGGACGGGACGGGACGGGGCTGGCGGCGTTCCACTCCGGGGAGAAGCAAACGCCTTGCCCTGTCTGCCAAGGAGGCTCACCCCCGCAGCGAGGAGTCTCCCCAGCGCGACCCCGGTGGGCATCGTGGCCGGTGGTGGTGGTGGCCGGGGCCGCTGGGGGTGTGCGCTCGCCTGGCGGTAGCGACTCCGTGCCTGTTCACCTCCGCACAGCTCTTGCAGCCCAGGCAGAAATGGATCGCCTGCCTAACAATTCATTCAGCAGTTGACCAACACACGGCCACCTTCTCTGGCCAGGTGCACTCCCAACACGGGGTGACAGAGTCAGCAGGTTCCCGCGGGTGGCTGGGCTGCCCAGCCTCCCCGCCCCCTTTACTGGCACTGATGAGGTTTTGCTGTTACAGCGACCACCGAGCAGGTACCTCAGCGAAGTGCAGCTGTGCGCGTGTGTGCCTCCTCTGGAGCCTTAGCGCCCAGCCTGACACCTTCAGGGGGAACGGAGGTTTTAAAAAACTACTAGTCTAAACGGGTGGGAGGGGTCTGGGAAGTGGATGGAGGGCTGTGCGTGTGGGCGGGGCACACCTGCCACTTGTTGCATTGTGGGTAACTGACCAGCTTTACAAGCACTTCCCTCCCCTGGTAACCCAGAACGAAGCTTCAGTTGGAGCTGGGTGGAGGGGGTCTGCTCTTATACCTTAACGCAAGGCTCTCATTATTCTGAAATAAAGCGTTTATTGGCTGCAAACAGAGCTGGGCCTCTCCCAGGAGCACGTTGGCCTTTGTGCGTGAACACAGCTGGAGTCCAAGTTCAGAGTCGCCCGCTTGAAGGCGGTTGCTAAAATGGAAGTTGACCGAGGCTGCCCGGGGAAGTGGGCTCTTGCTGAGTGTGGAGCTTGCCGCGTCCCAGCCGGGGCTGCCACTGGCTGTGCGGTGGTGTCTGTGCCACTCGTGTGCTCTGGGCCCCGTGATAGGTGGCGGGGAGTTGTGTGCAGCCTCAGCTGCCTGGGAGAAGCCCTGCCTGTGGCCTGGCTGTTCCTGAGTCTAAAGGTTTCTGGGCTGGACTTTCTGGATTTTGGTCCGGCCCGCACGGGGAGTGGCGCCCCGCCAGCTGGAGCGCCCTGTGTGGCTGCCCCTCAGTGCATAAACAGTGACTCACCCCTGCTCTCCGTTCGCTGGGGACCGTTGCTCTGGCATTTACTTTTGCTTTTCATAAGTCACACACTCGTCATGCTTCCTCTTTCTTACAGGGTCAGGAAGTTGAAAGTGTCATCTTAAAGCTGTAGGATCTTAGGGCAGGTGGGGGTGGACACTGAGATCACACACCTGCTTTGGATGAGAGGGCCGAGTGCGGGCTTCGTCGCCGGCCCGTGGCGGTGGGGTCCGGGGTCAGGCGCGGCTGCCTGCCCGCTTCTCTGTGCTGCCTGTCTGGGCGCCCGGGCAAGGGAGTCAGAGAGACGTTGACCCCTCAGGGCCCACACATCTGTTATGCTGCACACCTTCTTCCTGCCTGGCGTGGAGGCGGGGCCAGTGTAGGTAGGGGTTACCCCTGCTGTCCATTCAAACAGGAAGGTAGGCCTTGGACAGATGGGTTGGGACCCGGTGTGGGGCGCAGCCCAGGATGTGTGCTCAAGAGAGGATGTCGCCCACCCTGGGTGGGGGCAGGAGGGGGCTTTCTGATGAAGCAGAGGTTGGGGGAGAGGAGGGCAGGGATGGTGGGGAGACGGGGAGGAGCCCAGCACAGATTTGGGGGTGCTCTAAGGAGCCAGAGCTGGAGGCCTGGAATGCAATGGGGCCAGGGAGTGGGGGGTCCCTCTGCCTGCCCGTGGGGGCTGCATTTGGGGACCTAGACCAGAGTCCCGATGGGAGAAGCTGGGGGCCTGAGCTGAGCCGGTGCTTTTGGGCTGGAGCCGGGACGCTTGGGCTGAGGCCAGTGAGCCAAGGCCAGCTAGTGGATGCAGGAGGAGAGGCAGGGCCCTGGGGTGCGTCTGGGTGAATAACGTGGTGGGGTCACCACCTGAGCTGCAGATGTGGGAGGAGGGCAGGCGTGGGGTCTGCTGAGCATGTAGGCTGTCAGGTTTTCCGGGGGACCTACCTGGCTGGACATGAGGATTGGGCCAGTGAAGCCCTGGGTGGCCTGGAGTGAGCTGAGGAGAGGACAGGGCCCTGCAGGGGACCCTGGAGGGAGGGGGACCCCCAGAAATGCAAGGGGAGCAGGCCACCTGAAGCTGGACGGTGGGAGCGAGGGGCCAGGGCACTGCTGGCTGGGGGGTGTGGCGTTCAGCCTGTTATCAGCTCGGCAGCCGTCTGAGTCACCTCTGGACGCGGCCAGGATGACACAGCTTCCTCGAACTGCAAAGGCAAGGTGACCAGACGTCCTCCAAGCCCGGCAGAGTCATGTCTTGCCGGAGGGCAGCCAGCCAGGGCCAGCCTGCAAGCTGGGTGTGGGCCGGGCTGGTGGGGTGCCCAGGAGGCACTGTGGGACGCACTCTACACGAGGGGAGCTGGAGCGGCCCATCAGCGCCTGGCGTCTGGAGTGGGCAGGGTGGTGAGAGCGCCCCCGGCTCTGGGAATGGCCTTCAGTCGGTGACATGCGCTCGTTTGACAAGTGCCTACTGTGGCAGCCCCACCTTATAGTGTGGCCAGCAACTAGGAGGGGCATTTGGCTTTGGGTCACTTCAGAAGAGGTCCCTGGCCCCCTCAGAGCAGAGGTCAGGATGCAGCCGGCTGCTCTGTAGCCTGCGGTCAAGGCCCGCTCCCCTGGGACGGAGCCCCTTCCCTCCCTCGCTGGTCTTCCTCCAGCCTCTGCCCGCTCATTCCGGACCGACATCCGGGGAATGGGGTGCAGGGATGCTCGCCGTCAGCAGGTGGGCACCTTCACACAGAATGGGAGCAATGGCTTGGGAGCCCACCCATGCTGAGCACCCGGCTCGGCTTCCCGTCTGCGTGAGGCTCAGCGTCTAGCCTTGGCGGCTAATTGTTTAATCTAGGTGAGAACTGGGGCCCTTTGGAACGGTAAAGCCGCCTTTTCTGCTGTTATCTAGACCAAGGGCTGGTGGGGTAGGGGTCTGCTCCCATCAGCTACCTGGCTTTGTTCATGGAGAAAGCCTTCCCTGTGGCCTTGAACTTGGATCCAGCCCAGTGAGGGCCAGAGCACACCCGGGGATAGCCAGGGCCTTGAGCCGCCTGGACAAGCTGCGTCCAAGCAGTGGGCAAGCAGTGGGCAAGCAGTCAGCGTCTGCTGGGAGTCGGAAAGTGAAAAGTGACCCGGAAGGGGTCTGAGATCCCGGCCTCCAGCTCACCTGCCTCCTAGAGGGCCAGCCCTGGACCATGGACCCTAGGCTCCCTGCCCTGCCTCCAGGATGCCCTGGCCATTCCGGGCAAAGCACCCTGCCCTGTTCTTGCGGGCCGGAGGGGAGGGCAGCCAGCTCCTTCGTTCATCGCGAGCCGTGCTGTCGCCGGGGTCGGCTCCTGGCCCGCTGCTGCCTCCCCTCTTCTTTTGAGGAGATGTTTCCTGTTAGCCTCACTTGGCTGCACATCAGAACGATGCTTCTGCCTTTGGGTTGAAAATCAGCCTCTTCAGTTAGAAAAATAGTTACCTAAAAGGTATTTGGAGTGACAGGTGCTGACTGCGCACCTTTCTGGGCCAGCAGCTCCGCCAGGGCGCAGGGGGCGAGTGCTGGGGGGTGCGGGGCCACTCAGCAGCAGCAGACCTGCCGTCCTGGGGTCCTGGCCTGCGTGGCCAGGGGTTTGTTCGTCAGGGGACGCGGGGCAGTGCCGGCGCGCCCTCGTGGACAGCTACTGGAGGGTGTCGTGGTACTGGCGGCGGGGGAAGGGGCATGGGCCACCCGGGGCCTCTCAGCCCACACGTGTCAGCCCCTGTCACCCCGAGTCTCAGCAGTTACTCCCGTGTGCTCTGCGGGCCGCCGAAGTCGCCGAAGCTCAGGGGTTACCAGTGCCAGTTTAGGATGGTTGTTTTAAAGCCGGTGTGTCACAGACTCTGCCTCATGGTGCAGAGCGCTTCTCCCAGCCGCTTTCCAAGGGCAGGCCATCATTCTGCCAACGTGCATTCGACGTTCGGGCAGAGGTAACAGCTCCATTCCACCTGCTGAGTTCACAGAAGGGGCATGAAGCCGACGCTGGGTGCAGGCCGGGACCTGCGCCCTGCCTCTGGGCCGCCACCTGCTGGCGGGGCGGGGAAGGACGGCCACGTCTTCCAGCCATTGGAGGCTCAGCAGAACGGCAGAAGCCGAGCTCTGGTGGGCCCGAGGCCGTGGGGTCATCTGTGAGCACAGAGCCTGGGTATTGTCTGCTCCTGCCCGGCCCTCCCCATCTCCCCTTCGTCTCTGGTTCCCTGAAGCCCTGGGGGCCAACAGCATAGCCCCAAGTCAGGGCGCCACCTGCTTGGCCCAGCTGAGGCCTTCGGAAGCTGGGTAGGAGCCTGGGGCCCCTTGGTTCCAGTCCCCTCTCTTTTTGGAAGGGGATTGAGACGCTCAGAGAGAAGAGGGTTTACTTAGTCATCCCCAGCGTGACCTCCAGGTGAGCGCCGTCACCTCCCGTTACTGTCCTTGAAGTGAAAGTTGACACTTGAAGACAGGCCCCAGGTCAGACCCCATCGTGGCGCCCTGGTACAGGGAGGGGTCGTCTCCCTCGGACCCCAGCTCGAGGGAGGCTGCTCTCTCTGTGTCTGCCCGGGCTCCTCACCTGGGGTCCTAGCCCCCAGAAGCCCAGGGAGATGGGTGAGATGGGCTGAGCCCAGGGACCTTGTTCTGGTGGGTGTGGTGGGGATGGACCCTCCTGGGGCCTGCATGGCAGGGGGTCCGAGCAAGCTGGGGCCCATCCTGGGTGTGTCCTGGTTACCCGGTATCCCACCACAGATGCATGTCACGCAGGTCCCCAGAGGAGGTGTGCTGGCCCTGACCCCCGCCTGAGGCCGGGGGCCTGGCCGAGCTGGCTCTAGGGGCAGTGCCCGTCTGGTGGGGTCCCTCGTCCGCCACCCAGCGCCTTCCTGTCCCTCGCTCGCCAGCAGAGCGGTCCCTGCAGGTGGGCGGGGCCTCGGTCTGTGGGAATGTGAGCCCTTGCTCTGTAAACAGCTGGTGACTCACCGCACAGCTATGCCTGGCGGCCAGGCCTCGTGCACTGACGCTGCTGCCCAGCTTGCTGGAATGGCACCCGCAGCCCCTCCTCCCTGACGTGGAAAACTTTCTCATGGCTCCTGTGGCCTCCGCTGGCTTTTCCTGGTGGCTTCTCCAGCGTGCCTTGACCCCAGCCCTGGAGCGGGGTAGGTCCCTGGGGCACTCGTTGGGTGCCCCCCAGATGCTGGGGTCAAGCCACTTGGGGAATCAGCCCTCACCCCGCGGTAGGATTGCTCCAGACATGCTGCCCGTCCATCTCGGTTGCACATTCGTCGCCTCCTGAGGGGTGCAGAGGAGTCCAGAGTCCCCTGGCGCTGGCCCCGGCCTGGCCCTGTGGCATACTGCTCTCCACCATCCACCCTCAGCACCCAGGAGAGTGGGCGCGGTGCGGGGGGTGACGGGTTCTCAGGCTTGGGTGCTGAGACCCTCTGTCCACTCCGCAGCCTCTGGTGATGGGGGTGGGCCCATGGAGGCGTCACCAGTGGGCATAGGGTCCAGGCGGTGCTCCAGCAGGGTCCTGGGGCTGCGGGCGGGGGCTGGCGAGGTGGAGACCACCCACCCAGCTGAGTCGCACCCTCCAGGGGGCGGAGGCTTCAGGGAGCTCAGTGCCTGGGGCGCGAGGCCCCTCCCCAGGTGCGTGTTTCTGGAGCTCTCTCTGCGCCCTTCACCTGGCCTGGTGTTTGGAACGTCGGGTGGGCCCCGACCCCGCAGGCTGGGGACACAGCGTGCCAGCGAGTCTGGAGCCCATTCCCCTCCCATCCCCCAGCTGCTGGGCACCAGGGGTTTGTTTACTGTCCCACAACCTGCGACGTCTGCACCATGGGCCCAAAGCCATTGTTGCTGTGGGCTTCTCTGTTTCCATGACGACCATCAGAGGTTGGCTACTTCCCAAGGTCGCCATGGTAACTATCAGAGGGGAATCATGCTTGGGATGCTTTGGCTGGCTTTTTCATGAATGATTAGAATGTGTGACACAATGCAGACGCGAAAATGCGAAGGGCGGGCGGCGGGGACAGCTCCCGCCAGACAGTCGCTGAGCTCGCGAGGTGGCGGCTCCCCACCGCCCTGTGCAGGCCCCAGGCGGGCGTAGGGACCTCCTGCTCACCCTTTGGGCCTCAGGTCATGGCCTTGGGGCAGCGCAGGTGGAGGCGGTGATGTCACAGCTGCAGTGCCCTTGGCGGAGGTAGGCCTACCGGGAGGGTGGGGCCAGGCAGCGCGGGGCTTCACCCGCCCCTCGTTGGGGTGAGCCTGGCAAGGTCAGGGGCTCCCCAAAGGGCCCTTCCCCTAGGAGAGGCAGGCTGATCGGGGCGATGGGGGCTCTCACCAGGGCAGGCGCCAGGTTTGGCTGTTTTGGAGGGCCGGTGCCGTGTGCACTCTGGCCCTCAAACGTGGCCTTCTGCCTCACAGGTGCAGACGTCTGAGCTTGGGGAGCGTGTCAACAAGGAGCGACACCCGCTCCCCTGGGGTGTATCCCCCAGCGCAGGTGCTTTAGGTAGAGGCTGGGAGGGGGCACTCGGACGAGGTGGGCCAGCTGCTCCATGGGCTGATTCTGGAATGGGGCCATGGCTGGGTGTCCGCCTGGGACCCCTTGGCAGAGGCCCAGGCCCGGCCACAGTGCTCGCCCTGGGGCAGCCCGTCAGGATGGGCCGGGGCCCGCCTGCTTTGGGGCGCTGCGAGCAGGTCGCAGGGAAGAGGAACTGAGCCTTTGGAGTCTCTCTGCAGTGGGGTCCTGCTTCGGGTCACTTGCGATGGCAGCACACCCTGTCCCCAGCCTGGCAGGACCTAACCACACTTGTTTCTGTGTTCTGTGATTTTCTAGTTACGATTTCCAAGCAGTTCTGTCCGGGTGACTGTGCCCAGGTTATGACGACTAATCCCAAACCGAACAAGGCATTGAAGGTAAGCGGGGGTGGGAGTGGGCAGAGCCCACCTCTGCCCCGTCCCTTCTCGGCAGCCCCTCTTCCCCTGGACGCCCCTCAGAGTGTGAGGAAGCTGTGCCCCGGGCCGCGGGCTGGGGGTTGTTGGCCGCTGGGTGTCACTGAGAGAGGCGGTAACAGAATCGGGTTGCGGCCTTGGGAGACGCCTGTGTGGAAGGTGGGTGGTGCCTGCGGCCAGGGTCGACCACTCGGCCTGGCACCCAGGTGCCCTGCAGGCACCCGTGAGTGCTGGTGGCCCGGCTCCGACTGTCCCTCAGCTTCCGAGGCTGTGGCGTGCCCTTGTCTCTGGTCTCGGGAGCAGAGCGGGGAGCTCCTTTCACCTGTGGGCTGTGCGCCTCCAAGCCCCAGTCAGTACAGCGCGTGTCCCCAGGCCCGGGTGGGCTGTCCCTCCTCCCTGTCACTCTGCTGCCTGTGTCAGTTCTGAGCAGGCACTGCGGGGTCACAGGGCGGCACAGGTGGGCTGCGGCCTTGCAGAGCTTGGCCAGCGGTAGCCGGGTAATGGCCGGCGTAGCCCACGGTCCCCGCTCAGGGAATGGCCTGCGGTACTGCCACCGTGTGCATGATGGCAAGTGGCCCCACGGGGACCGTCTCCACCCGCTGTGGGGGAGCGAGGGCGGGCCAGCCCGCGTGCAGAGCTCGTTCCAGCCCGGACACCGGGCCACCCCCCTGGGCGTGCCGGCTGAGTCCCCCGCCCCCACACCTGGTGTCCCTGCAGGTCAAGAAGGAGGCAGGCGAGAACGGCCCGGCGCTGGGCGACGATGACCTGGTGTCCATGTCCGTGCGGGAGCTGAACCAGCACCTGCGCGGCCTGTCCCGGGAGGAGGTCGCCCGGCTGAAGCAGCGCCGGCGCACGCTCAAGAACCGCGGCTACGCGGCCAGCTGCCGCATCAAGCGCGTCACGCAGAAGGAGGAGCTGGAGCGGCAGCGTGTGGAGCTGCAGCGGGAGGTGGAGAAGCTGGCGGCGGAGAACGCCGGCATGCGGCGGGAGCTGGACGCGCTGCGCGCCAAGTACGAGGCGCTGCAGGCCTTCGCCAGGACCGTGGCCCGCGGGCCCGTCACGCCCACCAAGGTGGCCACCACCAGCGTCATCACCATCGTCAAATCCCCCTCCGTGCCCTTCTCGGCCGCCTCCTAGGGCCCGTCCGCTGGGCTCGTCAGGGGGTCCCACGGGGACAGACGCCGTGACTCCCGGGTCAGAGCAGGGGCGGGTGCCGGGTGAGGAGAGGGGACTC